TTATTCTTCTCCATTTTACCCAGTAGGAGAGACGTGATGACACAGGATTCACACTTCATTTCTTTAAAGTAATGAGTTCATCCCCATTATGACTCAAGTCCCTCAAGTTGCTATTAAGTCACAAATTTAACCTACTTAACCATGTAAATAAAGCAAGGTGAGGAAGAGTGTGCTGATGTGAGTTAGGAGCCTAGCATTCAGGTTTCAGCTATTTAGGCCCATTCTGTTGTTAGAATATGACAACAGTATCTAAACCTCCTTCTCCAATTGCTCATTTGTAAAGTAGCATAGTTGTGAGAGTTAGAGTTAGGAATATTCATTAACATTTATGGACACTTACTGTGTCCCATGCATTTTTAAAAAGTGGTTTACATATGCCAATACATTCAATGTTCCAATTAAGTCATAAGTAGCTAGATGATCATTCACATTTTACAAACCAGTAAACTCAAAGCAGAGATTAAGTATGTGCACATACAAACAATGCCAGGAAGTGGCAGAGCCAGGATGGGAAAGCACAGAGTCTGACACCAAGCCCATGCCCTTATCAAGCTACACAGCTTCTCTACAGGTGTGAAATACCAGGCCCGGACTCAGGATGTGGCATATGGTGCACACTCAAAGAGTTTCATCATTGCCACCATTATGTACCCTTTTATTACTATGCAAATATGTCACTTCTGTTAGAATACTTTAATAAAATACAAACATAGATTATTTGGGGTCACATTTATAAGACAGGAAACTATTTGGGAAGCTATTGTATATAGAAGTATATGTATATATACACACATTCATATATATGTGTATATATATATTTTAAGATTATATATATATATATATATACATATATATATGAAATGAGAAGCTAGTATATCCCATCTTACATAAGATATTTGACAGACAAAATTAGGTACATAATCAAAATATCTTACAGTATCCATTCCTGAAAGAAGAGTTAACAAAGTGTGAACTTCAAGAGTGAGAGGGAGGAGGTTGGATTGGAGATGAGAATGGAAAACAAAACCAATACCTATTTCACAGGAGGGTAATTTTCCTTCCTTCCTTTAGTGTATCATTTAAATAATCTGTGACATTAGAATAAACATAATTTCCCCCTAAATGCCTCAATGCAATGTAAATAAAATAGATCATAAAGATGAAATCTTTGGATATAAAATTGTCAGAATTTCAAAAGGAGGCCAAAAGGACCTTTGCTGGATACCTTCTAAAAGGGCATGATCTTCTGTAGTCATAAAAAATGGAAGCTACTCTTAACAATGGAAGCATCATAATCTCATTTAACATTCATCCAAATGGATGAAGATGATAATTACTTTAAATCTGTGAGAGAAAGAATTAAAAAGCTAAGAGAATTTCAATAGTGCCTAAAACAAACTAGATAATTAAAGTGCCAATTGAATGCTTTACAACCAAAAAAAAAGGTGTCTGTTTATATTCCCAGGCTTTATTCTGTGTGAAGATCATATATTGACAAATAAACTCGTGGTAAGTCTTCTATTCTTATAGCAACACCATTTCCTCCTTGTCAGACTTTTTGCTAGAAAATTCCTTTTGTCATTTATGGAGCAACATCGATACCTTACGAAATCAGCTTATTGCCTCAAACTGTCTACAAATAATGCCCAAAATCAATTTGTCTGATGAAACGGCTGTAACTGCTTGTCAGTCAAATGATCACCAAGTCCCTTTTTATGCACCAATATGGAAGCTTTGCTGGTTGGCTTATTAATACTAAGACCCAGAGAAAAGATAACACTGTGAATGGATATGCAAATATTTCAAATTTTCTTTAAATTACCCACTGCAATCTTTGGCTAAAGGTGAAGAGAATCTGGTAATTATTTTTATTGACATGTGTGTTTGCATACCAAGTGTTATTTCCAAAGGTTAATTATTTACATAACCTCTCTGAGTTATATCTCCTGCTGTCTTGGAATTTATCTCGGCACAACTTAAATTCAAAAAATCTAAAGTTGCCTTTCTGTAGCATCCAAGAGTTATAAGGATGATTAAAAAGGAAGCACTAGGAATTTATTCAAACTTTTTATGAATGGTCTCATGAATGGTCTCCAAATATTTAGAAAATCTAGATCATGCTTAAAAATTTGACTCTACTTATAGATAAAAACATTTCTGACAAAATTGAAAAATAGAGAAATAACCTATATAAAGCATACAACACATTCAATTTGTATTACTATACGGTAAGACTATTACATAACTATTACATATAAGAAACACTAAGATATTGTCTGTTTGCTTGTTTTTATTTAGTTATGGTTTGTTTCTGATTAGTTATCACATCAGCCATTCATTATATTTTCTTCCATTAAATATTAAATATTCCCTTCATGTGGTAAATAAATTTAGGCCCCTCATGACCCCCACTCTCCTAGTATTAATTCTGGTATTATTTCCCTTCCACTGAATGTGGGTGCGACCTGTGACTGGCTTCTAACCAGGAAATGTGGCAAAGATGATTGGATGTCACTCCTATGATTACGTTGTGTAAAATTTCACCTTGCTAGCAATCTATCTAAAGACTCTCAAACACTATTTAGAGATTGTCCTATATGACTTGATAATGTAGGCAACCATGTTGAAAAAACCCAAGCGACAAGAAAATATGAGTGGCTTCTAGGAAGAAGGAAATGTGAGTGGCCTCTAGAAGCTGAGGGTGGTGGGCCTCCAACCAATAGCCAGCAAGAAGTCGAGGCCTTCAGTACTAACACCTCAAGTAAATTATTTCTGCCAACCAGCTGAGTGAGCCTGGAAGTGGGTTTTTCTCCAGCTGAGCCCCTTTTTAAGAACACAACCCAATGACCACCTTGATTATATCCTTGTAAAGCTGAGAACAGAGGATCCAGTTAAGCTCTGTCTGGACTCTTGATTTACAAATAACCTTTATGTAATGAATATGGGTCGTTTTATGCCACGATGTTTGTGGTAATTTGTAATGCAGCAACAGTAATCTAATATGCTTCATATTTTGCTATTAACTAAATGATCATTCAAGTATTAAAGTACGAAACCCCAAAATTTATAGTTGAACATGATAAAAAGAACACAGAGAATAAAGAGTATGTGATGAAAATATGTCTTTCTCATAAGAAAACAAGTCCTACTTCTAAAATGTTAACCATTATTAAAGCATTCTTACATACCCAAAAAGCTCCTGAACAATTTAAATAATTTATGTGAGATTCTATTTAGCCATAATTTTTCCTGAATACATGTACTTAAAATTATTTAATTTCAATGAATGAAATGTATCAGTAAATAGATGTTTAATTTTTTTATTATTTTAAATCTATCAGTGAGATTAGAATATTTCCATTTATTCAACTGAAATTTGACTGCCCTTTCTTCTGTGAACAATGTTTATATCTTTTGCCCATTTTTACTTAGTAATTTATTATTTTCTTATCAATTTATGAAATTCACTGGTATATATTACTAATAGTAATATATATAATAAATATAATACAATATTATAATATAATAAATAAGTATAAAATAAATATTTTTTTAAAAACAGTATTTACTCAGTATGTGTTTTGCAATCTCATTCTTTTTATTTACTTCTTTAAAAATACTGAGCGACCCACTAAAGTCAATTTTTATAGCTGTGAAGTTAAAAATACATTCCTAGGGGTTACTGGGTGGCTCAGTCAGTTAAGCATCTGACTCTTGGTCTCCGCTCACGTCTTGATCTCAAGTTTCCTGAGTTTAAGCCCTGCATTGGGCTCTTTGCTGGGCATGAAGCCTAAATTTAAAAAGTTCCTATTCTTTCGATGAGTACAAAATATATTTAGCATAAATCCATTATATTGATAAATTCTTACATTAATTATTACTTTTCTCTTCAAATATTTATAGAAACACAAAACTGTGGAGTATTACAACTATAATAGACCCCTACTAACTTTTTTTTAAATTTTTTTTTAACATTTATTTATTTCTGAGAGACAGAGAGAGAGAGAGACAGAGCATGAGCAGGGGAGGGGCAGAGAGAGAGAGAAGGAGACACAGAATCTGAAGCAGGTTGCAGGCTCTGAGCAAGCTGTCAGCACAGAGCCTGATGCGGGGCTTGAACCCACAAACTGTGAGATCATGACCTGAGCCAAAGTCAGATGCTCAACCGACTGAGCCACCCAGGTGCCCCAACCCCTACTAACTTTCGACTGATTGAGATGATGGTTCTATGTTGTGTTTTTTATTTATATAAATTATATACTATCATTATTTTCTAGAGTAAAGATGTATACCCATATGTGTATGATTTGCTTTGTTCATCATTCCATATATAATCTTTGACTTACCATCTTGAACTGCTTTCCTTTTTTTTTTTTTTAAGATAAATCTTTTCTGATATCCTGATTATCTTCCAGAGTTGATGAATTAGGTGATATCAAAATGATAAATGACTGGTAGATAATAATTTAGCAATCACTGTTATTTCCTCTCAACCCCATTGTACAACCAATGAAGAATTAGTGATAATAAGATAAAAAAAATTTAGCTCTCTACTTCAAAAGAGAATCTCAGGTTTTTCAGAGTCAAAAATATTCCCAGAATGTGAAAAACAGCCAGTGGTATTTAAGATGTCAAAGCACTATGGAGATCACTTTGACAAAAATCCAGCAAATTGGAAGATGTAGTAGAGTTTAACTTCAACCAATATTCCATACACACACACACACACACACACACACACACACACACACGCAGTCCAGTACAAATCCTGTCCCTGTGTCCAAGGAGATGTGTATGAAATTATTACCGCAATATTATTCCCAAAAACGAAAAACTAGGGAAACTAGCACTAACAGAAGAATGAATAAATAAATTTGGTATATTTTTATTTGAGAAAAGGTAATATAATGAAAGAGCTAAAGCTATAAGTACTATTAGCTGGAACACCAACTGCTGTGTATAATAGCTCAAAAACTATAGATAATTATTTCTTTACTTACAAAATATATAAAGCAGGTATTCTTCATCAGCTGTTAGCTTTTCTCCAAGTGGCACTTTGGGGACTAGGCTTTTCCACCTCGTAGTTTCCCATCCTCTAGGACCTTGTCATCATCTTCATCCTGCGAACAGAAATGCAAAGATGTCAGTGTTAGTTAAAATACTTGGACCAGAAATATCCCATCCCTTCCAGTCATGTTTCATTACATAGACCTCTATCATATGGCCACACTTATCTATAAAGGCTAGGAAATAGAGTCTAGCTGTATGACGCTTTCCCCCAAAAAAACAGATTTAAAAAATTAGCAGCTTGGTAGTTTTTGTTACACATATTGGCAGGCATTAGTCTTACAAACATAATATTGAGGAAAGAAGGGCAAGTTGAAAAAGGACATGACTGATATATGTATATATAAAGTTCAAGCGCATGCAAACCCTACAGTGTTGAAGAAAGATGCTTACTTAATACAAATATAAAGAAATCCATGGAAATGATCAATCCTAAATTCAGGAGGGTAGTTATCTTGAAAGTAAGGAAAGGGGGAATGTTGAGGTGAGGTACGTAAAGGACACTAGTTTTATTTATGTTTTATTTTTTAAACTATGCACATATGTTCTTACACAGAATATTTCAAAATATATTTTTAAAATAACCTGATAAAGCATGATTCTTTTTGGGAGAAAATATAAGACACATAAGGCAACCAGCTATCTAGATTTTCTTACTAAGTTGGTTGTGTGGATGGGTGAAAAGTTAGAACTGAGATTGCACGATGCTAACATATCTCAGAGCACTAATTAGTACTTGCATTTATATGAAAGAAGAGAATAGGTACATTTGTGTGATAAACAAAGATCTGCAGATGGGTAGTAAAATGAAGAACTAGAAGCCTTTTTAAAATCTATGTGCACGTTCCTAAAAAATGCTTCCTCTTTAAGTCAGAATGTTATAGCATTATGTTCTCTAAGACATGATGAAATGTGCCTATTGGCTCTAATCAATTTAAGAAAAACCCACAGTAGCAAGAATAACAAGTGGGGTGGCTTACTGTGAATTCCACTAAGGAAGACTGGGAAATCGCATCATCTTAGTGAAAATTTATTCTGTTGACTTCTTTAGCTTTTCTTTGCTTAAGAACTAACTTGTCATGGTGATAATGCCTTGAAGTATCTCCTACTATATTAAACTGTTTTATTGTACTTTTTTTGGAAGCACTGATAATTTCATATTAGTATTCCTAAAGTATGTCCTTGGCAAGATATCTAAGTACCTTTAAAATTATTTTAATTAACCAATTAATCTTTATTTTGTCCATTAGTATATTTGAAGATATGAAGCACTTATCTGTACTCAATTACTGCCAAATACTTAAGGTTAAAAATTTGCTTCTTGGACAAAAATCGAGCAACACAAGAAGTCCAATTATTGTTGTCATAATTGGAAGTTGGAATAATTGAAAACAAATAGTGATGGCTAAACAGTGAGAACAGTAGATAATACCTGCCTGGAAATTCAGAGAAAGGTCATTAAGAAAACCTTCACAGAGGAGAACAGAGTTTATGTTGGGGTTTGTAGCCTATTATTTCACTGTGAAGAGAAAAGACAGGAACAGATTTTAAAATGATGTTTATTTAGAATATATTATCTCTGAAAGAAATCACAAATGTCTGTTATGTGAAAAGACTGGCAGGTACAGGGAACTATTCAATTCCTTCTCTACCTACTGAAACACTATATAGATACATTTCCGTAGCCATAAAAGAGGATTTTATTTAAAATTTATCTGTGAAAATTATTTACTTCAACAAAATTAGTAGAATGATACACGAAGGTACAACTACCATATATTCTCAACACGTTTCTTTTTTTTTTTCCACTTTTTTCTTTTTTTTTTTTTTTTAACATTTACTTATTTTTGAGAGACAGAGAGAGACAGCATGACGACAGTAGGGACAGAGAGAGAGGGAGACACAGAATCTGAGGCAGGCTCCAGGTTCTGAGTTGTCAGCACAGAGCCCAATGTGGGGCTCAAACGTGCGAACCATGCAATCATCACCTGAGCCAAAGACAGACACTTAACCAACTGAGCCACCCAGGGACCCTGCAACACTAGTTTATAGGAAGTAAATAAATGTGGTTTTTAAAATTATTGAATGTCTTCGGCTCTGGCAGGCATGCAGGCTGCATGCTCTCTTTTAAGAATTCAAACCTGGAGCTGATCCAACATGGAGAAGTAGGGGGACCCAAAGTTCCCTCGTCCCTCAAACACAGCAGTGTTGAGGCCAAAGGACTTGGAATTCCAAAAGTCCAGGCTACAGAGTGACAGAGGCATCTCCAGGGGCCCACTGGGACAACCTGGCAGGCCTTAGGTGCAATTGTGAACTGGGAGAGATAAAATGGGCAGCGTAGGCATGGAGGGGAGGGATCCCCTTCCGTGGAGAAGCAAAAGGAAGAGAAAGAGAGGCTGTGGAAGTGTAGGATTGTATTTGGAGAAGAGAAAAACTACAGGCTGGGAATCGGAGAAAACGGAGAAAGATCCAATCTCTAACTGCTATCTCTGGACTGGGGCAGGCTGCTCTGTTCAGGCACCTGGGGAGGAGGGGAGTTACCCCAGGCTCGGTAACTAGTTCAGAGGCACAGCCCACAGTGGGAGAAAGCAGTCTCCTCCCTTGAGTGCTGTGGGAAGAAGCTATATAGCCGTTCCAAGGACAAAGGACCCTGCCTGCTTCCATCAGCCCGACACCCTTTTTCAGTGGGGAGGAGTGGCACGTCCCCAGAACCAAGGAGGGAGGAGTGGGATCCCTTTAGACATCAGTGTTTGGATCCCAGACGAGCGCTAGGGAGGTACGGGAGCCTGTGGAGCCCAGGCGGGGGTGCGGGGGAGGGACGGCCTTCTCACACCCGCACAGCACCGCCAGGACAGCCTGTAACAGAGTGGTTTGGGACACCCGGTCTGGGGAGGGGAGACTGGGGTGTTGCCATTTTTCTCCCCGTCACCAACAAGGTGGGGTTTCAGGGAACAGACAAGAGGCCGCGGTGGAGGGGGGACCTGCCTACACCAAACCACGCCCCTTCCCTGGCGGTAACTGTGTATCTACTGGAGCAAGATTGACACGCCCAAGCAGACAGCACTTCCTCCAGACCAGCGCAGCCACCAGTTCCAAGGAAACCAGAGATTTTGAATTTTCTGATTTAGTTCTTGGACAATTATTACATTTTTTTTTCTTCTTATTTCTTCCCTTCTCTAGTCTGGTTGTTCTGGTTGTTGGTTTATTTAAGCAGACATATTTAGTCTATTCTCTCTACACGTGTTGTATATCTCCTTCATTTCTCTCTCTCTCTCTCTCTCTCTCTCTCTCTCTCTCTCTCTCTCTGCATTAGGCCGTATAGTTTCTTTGCCTGGTCAGTTTTCTTTTATTTTCTTTTTCCCCACCCCTGTCATTTCTCTCTTTGTATGGGATAAGGCCTCTTCCACCAACACCACCCCCCTTTTTTAAATTTCTTTTTCTAGGGTTACTTCAAAGAAAAAATCAAAACACATCTGGTGGAGGGTCCAAACGATCACTACAAGTAGGGAGATAAAGCAACCAGAGTCACAACAACAGAGAGTAGGTAACACGCCTGAAAAAAAAAACACCTCCTGAAGGGCCAGGCCCTGGACAGTGTATGACCCCTCTGTAATATAACAGTGCTCGCAGGTGTAGGACACATAACAAGTTTTAAAACACATAAAGGACAGAAAACTAGCCAAAATGACAAAACAAAAGAATTCTCTTCAAAAGAAATTCCAGGAAGAAATGACAGCTAAAGAATTGCTCAAACAGATATACACAAAATATCTGATAAAGAATTTAGAGTAATAGTCATAAGATTAATCACTAGGCTTGAAAAAAAGCATAGAAGACAGCAGAGAATCTTGCTGCAGACATCAAGAAACTAAAAAATAGTCATGACGAATTAAGAAATGAGGTGCAAGAGAAACTAAATGCAGTGATAGTGAGGACTGAAGAGGCAGAAGGGAGAATAAGTGAAATAAAAGATAAAATTATGGCAAAAGATGAAGCTGAGAAAAGAGGGATAAAAAATTCTAGACCATGAGGGGAGAATTAGAGAACTAAATGATTCAATGAAACGTAATAATATCTGTATCATAGGAATTCCAGAAGAAGAGAGAAAGAGAAAAGGGCAGAAGGTTTACTTGAACAAATCATAGCTGAGAACTTCGCCAATCTGGGGACAGAAGCTGACATTCAAATCCAGGAGGCACAGAGAACTCCCTTCAGACATAACAGGAATTTATCTTCTCCACAACATATCATAGTGAAACTGGCAAAATACAGAGCATTCTGAAAGCAGCTAGGAACAAACGGGCCTTAACCCACAAGGAGAGACACATAAGGGTAGAGCAGACCTATCCACTGAAACTTGGCAGTCCAGAAGGGAGTGGCAGGAAATATTCATGTGCTGAATAGGAAAAACCGGCAGCCAAGAATCCTTTATCCAGCAAGGCTGTCATTCAGAATAGAAGGAGAGATAAAGGTTTTCCCAGACAATCAAAAGCTGAAGGAGATCAAAACCACTAAATCAGTCCTGCAAGAGATCCTAAGGGGGGCCTCTGTAAGTGAAATGTGGCAAAGACTACAAAGGACCAGAGATATTACCACAAGCATGAAACCTACAGATAGCACAATTGACACTAAATCCTATCTTTCAATAATAACACTGAATGTAAATGGACTAAATGCCCCAATCAAAAGACACAGGATATCAGAATGGATAACGAAACAAGATCCATCTATATGCCAAGAGACCCATTTTAGACCTGAGGACACCTTCAGATTGAAAGTGAGGGGATGGAGAACCATCTATCATGCTACTGGAAGTCAAACACTAGAGTGGCCATACTTATATCAAACTAGATTTTAAACTAAAGGTTGTAACAAAAGATGAAGAAGGGCATTATATCATAATTACAGGGTCCATCTCTCAAGAAGGGCTAATAATTATAAATGTTTATGCACCGAATTCAAAGCACCCAAATATATAAAACAATTAATCACAAACATAAGCAATCTTATTGGTAAGAATACGGTAATTGCAGATGACTTTAACACTCCACTT